AATCCCAAAGGTGGTTGTAAAAGGAAGTAAACTGCAAAGAGAAGTTTGAGTCTTGTAAGTAGATGAAGGAGGAGATAACTGAGTCTGATAATCAACACAGAATATTCCTTCTGAGGATGAGAGGTGATCCCTGTGTGTCCTATGATAATCTGGACAGGAAAGGAAGTTGTCCTTGTCACTCTTCCCCCTGCTTTAGTAAATGGACCTGATATAGGCAACCTCTGGGGCAGTGATACAAAATGGGGATTATAGATTCTGCATTTCAATGCCCCTAGGCTGGGAGACCTGAATTGCACCCTAAAATAGTCACAGAAGCCTCATTTTCCACCCCTAGTTCCAGCTGCACATTCCCTGGGAGAAAGTCTCCTTTTCCCAGGAACAGATTGATATCCATGGAGCTGATCTCCACACAGTAGCTTTCACTGGTCTAGAGATAAATATGTTCTTGAAATATGAAATCTTGGGCTCCTGGCTGGTGCAAGGGGTTAAAACACAACCTATGAAGCTATCCACAGTCTCTGCAGCGGGAGTTCAATCCCCGGCCAGGGAGCAACCCACATAGCACAGCAGACCTCTCCTGACTTGCCCGCTGCTCCCCTTAGCAGTGTATTTCAGTCAATGTGCCTGTTCTGTTCCCTGCTCTGTCTCTGGTGAATCCTCTCACCCCCCACACCTCTGGCTTGTACCTGAGTTCTTGCATGCATAAATAAATAAATCTTTTAAAAAAGAAATGGGAAATCTAATATTTGCTATGAATTATCATGTTATTTGAATACTCAAAAAAGAAAAATTTTGTGTAAGTGTTGTCATTATGTTATGACTAAGAATAGGTTTGCAGAATGTTTTCCCAATCATATGAGTGGAGATGATAGTTTAAGTAATGAAGGAGTAGGAAATTGAGAATATGGCAAAATACCAATTTAACAAAATTACCAAATTTATGCTATAGAAATCATACAAAACTGATAAATTCCATTAGTTTTTCCTTTTCTGGCAAAATGTCTGTTATTGTGTGGTTATGAGGATGACTACATGTCACTGACCAATGCAGGCCAGGCAGGGAGCATCCAAGCAGCTGTCCCTTTCACCATAAGGGGCTGTTCCCAGTTCCAGGCCACCCACAATCCTGCTCTTGGTTCAGGCGCACGCTGTGCACTGACAGGGCTTCACAGCTGGTGTCTCTGGTGGACTGAGACACTCATGGTCCAGAGCTCTCCACACCTTCCTCTTACACACACTCAGGGTCTTCTCTGACTGCTCATGAGACAAAAGTCAATTGTGTGGGCATCTATCCAGGCCATGAGGGAGGTTTTTCTTCAGGGCTCAACCACTGTGGGAGGAGTATGTGTACCCAGAAAGCAGTAATAGATTCCAACATCCTCAGTCTCCACCCTGCTGATCTTCAGGGTGAAATCTGTGCCTGACCCGCTGCCACTGAACCTGTCTGGGACCCCAGGGTCTCTGTTGGACACAGCATAGATCAGGCATCTTGGAGACTGGCCTGGCTTCTGCTGGAACCAATACAAATAGGTGTTTCCATCACTATGAATGAGGCTCTGACTGGCCCTGCAGGAGAGGGAGACCTGCTCCCCAGGGACGACAGGCAGGGAGTGTGGGGTCTGTGTCAGGACAACCTCCCCACTGGATCCTGAAGAAAGGAGAGAAAAGTGACAAGTAAAGACAAGTATTATCCGTCATTTTCATTATTTCAAGTCTGTTACTCAATTAGGCTAAAATACTGCTTTGTTTTACTATCAATATTTGAGGTATATAATGTACACCAAATCCATGAGCTCACAATAAATAACCTGTGGGAAGAGACCCCAAAACTTTGCCTGCACTCTCTAGTCAGGGTACAGATGCTTCAAGTAGTCACAGATCTCAGCACCACTTTCTCTTAAAGACAAAGCACACACACCTAACACAGAAACGGAAAACACATGGGGAGCAGAGGGCCCCAGAGCTCAGTTTCCCCACCCTGGGCTCCATTCTCACCTCCCCTCAGCCTTACCTGGGGTCCAGAGCATCAGCAGCCCCAGGAGCTGAGCAGGGAACCTCATTTTGAGAGGGTGACCTGATGGCTCTGTCGGGTGAGATCAGTCTGCAGCTGGTGTTTTATCTCAGCCCTGAAGGTGCAGGACCTCCCAAGGGGCCCGCATGCAAATGCCCCTGGCAATGGCAGTGGGTAGATAGAGCCCAGGGGAGCCCCGAGGATCATAGGAAAACAGTGAGTTTCCTGTCTTTCATCAGTCTCATGGAAACTGAAAGAAACATTTGTGTATCCCAAAGTCAAGAAAGATCAGATTCTGCAAGTTTATTTGTTTTGTGCACAATACAAGCCGTGTATTCCTGCTTCTCTTCAAATAGCATATGCTGAGGCACTGCCTCTGACCACGCAGAGACGTGTCCAGGTCTCCCTCAGGTAAGTGAGTGACCACCTTCTTGGCTTCTCCAGGGTGATCTCACAAGCACTCAGCTCCTCCTCTGGACTGATGAGCAGCGTCTCAAGGTACAGGATGGATGTGAGGGTCAGTGTCCTTTGTATCTGCTGTGATCAGGTTAACAGTTTAACTCAGAAGCACCTAGTACACTGAATTCCATAAGTATATTGAAGTCAGAAGACCCTGACAAGGAGAATAAACTTTCTTTCTTAGAGAGACCTAATCGACTTGTTTAAGAAGAAAGCACAAAAAAATGTATCTTAGTAAATGCCAAATTTATGGTAGCAGTTATTAAAGTCTGTTGAACTCTATCATCCTTATACACTGTAGTCATAATGGATTAATTTAAAAATTTCTGAAGTAAAGGAGATCTTGGGGGAATGGAACTAAGTAAATAAGAAACTGTATATGTGTGTGTGCGGATGTATGTATGATAAGAGGCAAACAAACATGAAAATAACACAATCCTGACCACATCTGAATCTGGCCATGCACACAGTACACGGGTGGTGGAGAGGACACAGGTGGAGAATGACCCGCATGAGGTCCCAAGGGAGGAGACCCCTGCGTCTCCCGTCCTGGCCACGGTCCCTGACGGAGGACAGACAGTGACAGCGGCTACTCTTCGGGTACCAATCCTCAAATATGAAGCTGACACTGGACAACGTGAAGAGACAGGGCCCCACTGCGCAGGTGACGCTTTGTTTACATTGGGGTGCTAGTTGTCACCTCCCGTATGGCCATCTCTTCTGGAAGCACATTTACCACAGCCTCTTTTCTCTTTATGTCTCCTTAGAATTGTTCATAAGGGGTCCTCACTGAGCTCTGGAAGAGGAGAGGATTCACTCCTCCATCACACCTGTAGTTCTGGAGACTCACTTGGAGAGCTGCAGCAGAGGCTTGAGGTTCTTTGCCCTGCCATGGGCTTTTCAGAGAGGTCTGAGGACCACAATAGAGGGCAACTTATCCACTCAGTGATCACGTGCTCTGGTTTCCTGGACAGCGACAGAGAACCCCATGTCTGGTGTTTGCTTCCCTGAACACATGCCCCCAGACCATGAAAGGATTGTAATTTAACCTCTACCTCACTCTATTAAAACATTTCTAGACAAGAAAGAATAGGGAGAAAAATTGCAAAAGACATATCAGGGATGGGGCTATTATTGGAAATACACAGATAACTCTTAGAACAAACATCTCAATAAAAATTGGGACAATGGCCTTAGCAGACCCCTCACCCAAGGAGATACACAGTCGACTCATAAGCAAGTGAAGTGATGGGCCACATGTCACATCATCTGGAAATGCAAAGGAAGTCAGCAGTAGCCCCCACTGCACTCCCACTGGGATGTCTGAATCTAGAACTGTGACACTTCATCACAACATGATCTGTCACTAAGATGTGACCCCAGGGACTGCCTCACACATCACGGTGGGAACGCAAATTGGTGCCATCACTTTGGACCACAGGGTGTTGGTTTCCTACAAGATGATCACACTCTTGCACGTCACCCAGCAACTACTCCTTTGTATTTCCCCCAAAGGGTTAAACATCCACATTACCCTGACCTCAGTGCTTATGGTGCTTCACTCTAAATTAAGAATTTGGGAGCGCCCAGGTATCCTCCAAGGGGTGGTAAATGTACAAATAAACTGTGGCTCATCCAGACAATGGATCATTGCTCAGCACTAAATGGTCCCCACCATGATATTTGAGGGAGTCCCTGATGTCACATCATCATGACAGGTGACGATGTGAGGAGGGGTCACTGTCTATAGTCAGGCATCCTAGGGGGTGACTGTGTGCTGTTGCTGATTTAATTTGTGATTCCTGAATGGACAAAAATGGACATGGAAGCAACTTAATTTTAAGGGCAGAAATCAAGCTGAAAAATGTGCATACATGTGAAGGACATTCAGGTGAAGGGGACACAGTGGGGACAGTAATGATGTCAAAGGCTATGGGAGGATGAAGAGGTGGAGCACAAAGGAATATGAAAGAGTGAAGCTGCTCTGTGGACACTGTCACTGGGGACACGTGCCCTGGTCAACTGCGAGCCCTTAGTGCCTGAGCACTAAGCCGGACCCTGAGCAGGGGTGGGTCCTCCTCTAATCTGTGGGTTCAGGGTCTTCAGCTGGAACATCTGTACACCTGCTGGGGAGATGAGGTCAGAGTGGGAGGAGGGTATTATGGGAAAATCCTTACGCTCAATTTCTAGGAGCCTTAATCATCTGTGTGTGTGTGTGTGTGTGTGTGTGTATTTTATTTTAAAAACTTCTTACTGAAACTACAATGGCTCCCTACCACTATGACCTCTAGGCAGACAGCTCAGGTGTCATCAGCTGTCTTTATTGAATCCACAGAGACATTGTTTTCTCTGTGCTGCTGGGCGAGGAGGGGAAAGACATTTAGGGACAAAGAACCACCTTCTCCTTCTACCAGACCCTCAGTCATTCAAAGTGAGTCTTCATCTGAGATGTGCTCTCAGCAGATAGAAGGAACAAGGAAAGCAGCTGGGCTGCCCAGCCTCACACAGCTGCTCCCTGGGTAGTTTTTGTTCAGGCTTGTGTCACTGTGGGAGGAGTACTGTAACCCTGCTGACAGAAATAAGTGGCAGCATCTTCAGGCTCCAGGCTGCTGATGGTGAGAGTGAAATCTGTCCCAGATCCACTGCCACTGAAGCGGGATGGGACCCCGGGCTGCAAATTGGATGCATCGTAGATCAAAGGCTTAGGAACTTTGCCTGGTTTCTGCTGATACCAGTGTAAACTGCTGTAAACACTCTGACTGGCCCGGCAGGAGATGGTGACTCTGTCTCCCAGAGATGCAGACACAGAGGGTGGAGACTGTGTCATCTGGATGGCACTCTTGGCCCCTGGGATGGAAACAGAAAACACACCCACACTGTCATCCTGTCATCAGAGGACTTCCCTGAGGGCCAGGGGTCCTGCCCACCCGGGGCTGATCAATCTGTTGTTTCCTTCCTCACCTGGGAGCCAGAGCAGCAGGAGGCTGAGGAGCTGAGTGGAGGCCCTCATGTCCATGCTGGGTCCTGTCTGGAGTGACCCTCAGGCGCTGGGGCAGACTATGAATAGTGTGGAGGGAGGGGCTGTGCTCTGGGAACATGCAAATGAGCAGGGGCAGGGGCGGGGTAGGGGGGTTGGGGAGGAGGGTGAGCACAGCTGCAGGGGCTGATCATTTTCCTGCAGAGAAAGCATTTTTGCCTGAGGAACACAGGACAGAATCAGTTACTGTCCTGTGAGTGGAGTGTCTTTTGCTCTCAATATTTAGGAAAAGCATCACTTCCTATTCTCCATGTAATACAGATCCTTTCAAATGTAACACTCCGTGAATTGTGTTTTCATTTTCATGCGGATATGTTCTTAAGGCCAGTAAGATTTCCTTTTCACTCTGGTTCCCTGATATTGCTGGAGTGAAAATTATCATCACTGCCAACCAGATGCAGTAGTTGGGAGGACAATGCAGAGTGTGGCTGTGAGGAGCTGTGAGAGCCCAGATACTGAGCATCCTCCCGCTGACCTCATCTCCAGCTAAGCCTTGTGTCTCTGCACTGTCTGAGGCCCTGTCCCACCATGTCTGCCTCAGCACCAAGCTCAGGGTGTTCTCCCCCATATCTGACAGTCTCCTCCCTCCCCAGCGCTGTGTCATCACACAGACCCAAGTGCACAGCCCGGTCTCCCTGGACTGTCACTCATGTCCTTCATCCTCCTTCCCCAGGTGCTCCCTTCTGAGCTGACGTCCTCCCAGACCAACTCTTTGGTGATCCCTGGAGTCTACCGCGTTCCACCATCTACATGTTCATTACTCACCATATATCCTCCAGGTGTTGAGACAGCAGCTCTTGGTGCTGGAGCAGGGAGTTGGGACCCAGGTAGAGTAAGGAGACTGTGTAGAGGAAGGTGAAGGGAGACACTGCACTGAGTTTGGAGCTCATACAGTGTAGACTGATCTTCCATAAGGGAATGAGGGAGTGTATAGCATGAAGTGTGGAGGAGAGTGGGTGAGGAGGGTGTCCCCACATGGAGAGCTGGATCCGTTTGCTGGTGCAGGGCTATGAACTGGATGAGATGAGGAGCATCGTGTGTCTTTGATGCTCGCCCACTACCCCAACACAGTCACAGATTCTTTCTTCATTAAAGAGCATGTCCCTGGATTGGAACTTGGGCGAGTTTACCACCAATCCTGAATTAGTCCTGGACCACTGGGATCGAGCCTGTAGTTGCTGTGAGTTGCAGAGAGGACAGCAGGGAGGGGCGTGGATGGAGATGGAGGCAGAGCCAGCCCTGCACTCTGTGTGACAGGTCAAGGAGCCCTAGACTCCGCGGTGGCTGCAAGGACAGGAACCGTGTCCCCAGCACTCGGGGACGCCTGTCTGTGTCCCATGTCCTGTGTCATCTGTGTGGCCAGCTCTAGTGACGTAGAGAATGTTCTTTCATCTTTAGTGTCTTTGTTTCCAAGTGCATCTAAACATGTCCATTCAAGCATCACCCTCCTATGCGGAGCTGAGGATCTTCCATGTGTGAACAAACTGTGATATTAGGATAGTGCAGCTCGTTGACAGCTGGACCATTGCTGCTTTAGGGTCCTGTGGTGAATTTATGAAAACTTTTGTGTGTGGGGGGCGGGGGGAGTGTGTTTGCGAATGTTTCGGATCCTTTCTCTGCGCTTACTCTTGATTAAGATCATGCTCCATCTTACATTTGTGACTAATATTTTTAAAATTTTTAATTAAGTTTAGGTTAAGGTTTTTAATGGCTCCAACTAAAAATTGTTTTAAAAAATGTATGAACTAGACTATCATTTCTTACTTTTCTGACTTACACAACACTTGGCCTACATCATTTATGACACTCTAAGCATGGATTTTAAACAGATCACGTCACAGTAAAAATAACTAAATAAATAACTTTCATACATAAAGTGTTGTTGCCCATTCCATGATTAAAATATTTAGCTTAAGATTATAGGATCAGGGGCTTCCCAGGTGGCACAGCGGGGATTGAGCTGTGAAGCTGTCCACAGCCTCTGCAGTGCGGTTCGACTCCTGGCTGGCCAGGGAGCAACCCACGTTTTGCAGCAGACCTCTCCTGCCACCCGCTGCTCCCCTCAGCAGTGTACTTCCGTCCTTCCTCCTGTTCTGCTCCCTGCTCTGGCTCTGGGGAATTCTCTCACCCTCCTGTGCTACTAGCCTGTCCAGTTTTTATATAAATAAATAAATCTTAAAAAAAAAAAGATTGTAGGATCATTTGTCAAATATTTACACACAATTAGCAGAACCCAAAAAACGCATTGCGTTAAATAGCAAGTGTGAACAGGAAGAGTAAATAATATCTGTGTACTCAAACAGTGAAAATCCCAAGTGGTAGGTTTAAGAAAACACTTGCTCCATCACCCTGTGTGTCACTAGCGCCACCTTCCTCCCGCGTGTCCCTGTGGCCCCATCATGCCAGCTCTGTGTTGAGGGCGGCACTGGTGGGGAGCCAGCAGTCCTGGAGCTGGGTGTCCTGCTGGTCCCGGTGTTCAGTCTCCCATTGCGGCAGGACTGTGAGTCCCGCCATGTGGTCGGGCTTAAGCAGTGGCCTCCTTACAGGCCCTACAGGTAAGGGTGTTAGGAGAAAGGTGGGGAAGAACAGGGAGGGGCAGGTCAGCTGACCCCGGAGGCATTGCAAGACCTTGTTTCTTACTCAGGGTGAAGTGGAATGTGGTGCTGACTAGAGACTAGACTTGGGGTGGCCAGGGGAGAGACTGGTGGCCTTGGAGGAGGGTGTGGCCATGGTCCAGATGAGGGATGAGGAGGTTTTCCTGACCCCCACAGAGCAGCAGTCTCTCAGCGCCACACTCTCTATCCCATTGCCTGATTTATGTTAGGACTGATTTATATCAGGATTTATATTAGGACATTTCCTGACATTATCTATACATTTCCTTTTACACAACTATTGTTTCCTGCGGGCCCCCTCCTCCTGCCACAGGGGCTCTGCCACACACCACTGGTGGAATTTAAGCTGGTGTAGTCACTTTGGATCACTGTTTGCTGGTTTCTTACAACATTAACCATACACTTAACCATCTAGTCCAGCAGTGATTGGACTCTATGGTATTTTCCCAAAAGGGTTTAGCCAGATGTTCACATACAACCTGCGCACAATGTTTATAGCATTTTATTCCTAAATACCAAAATTCGAAGCCTGCAAGGTGTCCTTCAGTAGATGTGAAATGAATAAATCAACGGAGACACATCCAGACAATGGAATATTAATCGACACTGAATAAGAATGAGCTAATATGTCCTGAAATGACATGGACACAAATGAAATGCTCACTTAAGTGCAGAAGCCAATCTGAAACAGGCTGTGATTCCATCTAAGGGGATTCTGGAAAAGGGAACTTTAAGGAGGCAGTGATGGTGCAAAGGTGAATATATATCCTTGTCATTGTCTTTATTCTCAACTGTCCTTAAAATATACAATGCCAAGAGTAAGCCCCCTTATTAATTATGGATTGTGGGTTTGAGAAGAACAATGTAGGTTCATTAATATGATAGTTCTACTCTGATAGGGGATGTTCAACGTTGGAAAGAAGGGAAGCCCTTTGACCAGAAATCTCCAATCAGCTTCCACTAAGCTGCATGTGAGAGCAACTCTCAGCAGATGGGGCACCAGGAGGAGCAGCTGCTCCCTGGGTGGTTTTGGCTCATGCTTGTGTCACTGTGGGAGAGCAATTATAACTCTGCTGACAGTAGTAAGTGGCAGCATCTTCAGGCTTCAGGCTGCTGATGGTGGGAGTGAAATCTGTCCCAGACCCACTGCCACTGAAGTGGGATGGGACCCCTGTGCAAATCATTGCTAACACTCTGACTGGCCCGGCAGGAGATGGTGACTTTGTCTCCTCCAGATGCAGATACTGAGGGTGGAGATTGGTTCAACTGGATGTCAGACCTGGCCCCTGAAATGGAAAGACAAAACACACCCACACTGTCATCCTGTCATCAGAGGACTTCCCAGGGCTGAACAACTCCTGGTGTTTCTTTCCTCACCTGGGAGCCAGAGCAGCAGGAGGCTGAGGAGCTGAGCAGGGGCCCTAATGTCCATGCTGGGTCCAGCCTGGACTGACCCTCAGGGACTGGGACAGACTATGAATAGTGTGGAGGGAAGGGCTGTGCTCTGGGAACATGCAAATGAGCAGGGGCTGGGAAGTGGGCACAGCTGCAGGGGCTGATCTCAGCAGCACAGAGACAGGGACTCCCCACTCTCCAGGTCCCCCAAGGGTAGGGTGAACTTGCCTGCAGAGAAGGTATTTCTCAATGGGGATGACAAGACAGAATCGTCTACACTCCTAGGAGTATAATGTTCTTCTTGTCTATCTATGGCATGCTTTACTCTTAGTCTCCATGCAGTACAGACCTATAAAGAAAGGCACTTAAAGAAATTTTAGAAACTTCTTTATTTGAACTGTGGAGCATGAGAGGCTATTTCTAAGTTGTGACTCCCTGATATTATTGGTTGAGAAAATGTCTTCACTTCAAGAGAGAAATGCATTGAGGTAGAAAGGAAATAAGACTGTGGGTGTCCTGAGTTGCAAATAAGAACCCAGACACTGACCATCCTCCCTGCTGATCTCATCTCCAGCTAGGCCTTGTGTCCCCCCACATCTGAGGCCCTGTCCCACCACATCCACCTCCTTCCAAAGTCAGGGGTATTCTCCCCCCACATCTGACAGTCTCCTCACTCCCCAGCACTGTGTCATCAACAGAACCGAGCACAAGCCTGGTTCTCCCTGGAATTTAGCTCACGTCCTTCATCCTTCTCCCCTAGGTGCTTCCTTCTAAACTGAGGTCCTCCCAGACATTCCTCAGTGATCCCTGGAGTCTACTGTGTCCCTGCACCTGCACTTTCCCCATCACCGTCACCTCCGCGTCCCAGGAGACAGCAGCTCTAGTCTCAGGATGAGGAGGTCTCCCTGCCCAGCTCTCTTCACTTCTCATGTTGCCAGGACACTGCCCTAATGCAGTGTCTGCCTCCTG